ACTGGGAATTTAGCTGGTGAACACATATATGATGTAAATCAACTGGCAATTTAAATTGTTATATGTTGGAATTTAAAAGATCTAAACCCAAACAATTTGTCATCAATTCTTCCATTCATCCAGTCAAACTGTGGCTGAAATTCATATTTGTTAATATTTTTTTCATCTTTCCTATAAAGAAGAGTATATTATTCATGTCCAGTTATATTTGATAATTTTTGTAATTTGATTGGCAATCACTGTGAATAAATAGTAGAAATATTTGTAAAGTAATTAATTCAAAGCATTTGTAAAAAAGTGAATGAGCGAATTATTTAAATACATGATGTCTCATCTTTTTCTACATTATTTATTTTTTCAATACAATTTTTTCAATGTGTTTAATCTTATCAAACAAGGTAAGTCTTTTCCATTACATTGTGTTATGGTTCATTAATAAACATGTTACCAGAAAAGTAGAATTATGTCTATAACTTGAAAATCCAAAGTGAATTTAAAATTGTGAGCTATACTAGCCAAATTAGAAAACATATGCATAGATTTAAATTTCTATTATTTTTGCCTAAAATATTTGCAATAAAAACAATTATGGGTATTGTTTGGGATATCATACGTTCACACAGTGACCAAGATAGAAAACATAAATTAGAACCAGATTCATCTGATATTAAATAATCCACGTGGACAATTCATGAAAATTGGTGATTTATTTAACAAATATGCAATACAAGGCTGTAAGAGGCTACATAAGTAAAGTAAAGATTAGGATGAAAGAGAAGAAAGTATTTCATCTTTAGTTGCTGCATGAATTTTGGAACAGGGGAACAAGCACAGCTGGAACTTATTTGCTTTTCAGAGAAACTGCTATGTTTACCTATGGGTTAATCCAGCCTCTAGTGGCTGTCTCATTGACATCCGCTAGAGGCGCTTCCGCGAAAGTCACAGTGAGAAGACGCCAGCGTCCATAGGAAAGCATTGAGAATGCTGTCCTATGGACTGGCTGAATGCACGCGCGCTAGGCTCTTGCCGCGCATGCACATTCAGCCTGTGACTGAAGAAGAGGGAGGAGAGGAGGAGGAAAGTCCCCCGCCCGGCGCTGGAGAAAGAGGTAAGTTTAACCCCTTCTACCCCCTAGAGCCCAGCGGGAGGGGGACCCTGAGGGTGGGGCACCCTCAGGGCACTATAGTGCCAGGAAAACAAGTATGTTTTCCTGGCACTATAGTGGTCCTTTAAGTACTTGATTTTCTAGTCATCCATGACTGTTCATAATTATGCTGGAGATATCATCCACTCAAGTCTGAAAGGATTGATAAATACCATCATTGTCCAGCAATATGTAAGCAGTAATCTTTTGTTCTATACACTATACTATACCATTTTTCATCTACAGAGAGCACTGTGTTTCCATTTTTGTTTCATGATATTTATATTTCATATATTCTAGCTGCATACTTCCTAGAGTGGGAATTGTACCACTCCACTCTGTATTTTGGAGCCACATTAGGCTCTGAATCATATAAGTGCATATACTACATACTTATATTAATATCCAAGGTTATTACACTGTATACTGCTCTGGTGTTCTATTCCATATTACATGTTAAGGATCTATACTTGCTATACGAAGACATCCATGTATTATAAGGTGTTCTGCCCAAGCACAAAATCCTAGAGCTGGTCAGAAGCTCTATCTAATATAAGTGTTTCTCCACATTTATTTCTGTTTATATATTTAGATATACTCCACCATTGGACTTGTTCTGCTTTTGTTTACATATCCATCTATTTGAATCACAACCACTAAACAACTGTGAATATTTAACATCATATACTATATTTTATTGCATTAATCTGGGGAAGTGGCACATCATTTCCATTTAATTATCTTGGATACTTTTTTTTGTATTTGACAATTTTTATTATTTTGTCATTTTTAAACATAAAACATAATCCAATGGGATACAGAAGAGAAGGGGTGGGGAAAGTTTGCAGTTCTTACATCTTTAATGCATTTGCAAGTAGGGTGGGGAACCCTGTTTTGGTTCGGCATTTTGGTAGCAGCATTGTCAGTTTACACAACGTCTTGGACAGTCATATTTTCCCAGTGAGTCATTTACTTTTAGTTTAGCTTTGTGTTTTGAAGGTATCATTTGGTTTTATGTAGCAAGACACTAATGTCACCTTGCTGCGTAATTCGCTTGATGGGGTGCTCTTGGGATTTTGGCTCGTGTGCGGTGGTTTGTGTGAGTGTCCTTAGTTGGTCTGGGAAAGGTGGAAGGGGAGGAAGGGGGGAACAGAGAATTTCAGTGGAAAGGCAGATGTCATTGTGATTGAGTTCTGGGCTTGATTCTGT